AATCAGAGTTATTTACTAAACTGTGAAATGCCAGGAATTCAGAGTGAATTAAATGCAAATTTAACATTTAAGGCCAATATAGTCAAGCCGCAAACTTACCCGAAGTGTAGAATTTTCCCCGTTTGGTTAATTTCTCTTCAAATGTGATATTCCCAACAGTTTACTCTTTAGTGAGTAACTCTTAAAATATTTACCTGAATGGGTTTGTCGAAATGAAGTCAATCAGATTGCATTTACCAGGCAAGCAACCTTTTATGGCTTTTACTTAACTGAACAAACATTAGGGATGTGACAAAAATACAGTGCTAAAAATGGCGTAATCAACATGGAAACCAGTGGAAACCAGTGGAACCAGCAGGTGCATTCCATTAGTGACTCCTCCCCTTTTACATTTCTGCACCACTTTTATTACTTTACTGAGAGGGTAGTGGATGCATGGAATAGCCTTCCAGCTGAAGTGGTAGAGGGTAACACAGTGAAGGAGTTTAAGCATGCGTGGGATAGGCATAAGGCTATCCTAACTATAAGATAAGGCCAGGGACTAATGAAAGTATTTAGAAAATTGGGCAGACTAGATGGGCCGAATGGTTCTTATCTGCCGTCACATTCTATGTTTCTATGTTTCTTTTTTAGAATTTAACACTTTCATAAATCTCCAACATTATGAATGCTTGACATTTACTGCAATTAAGGCATTTTTAGTTATTGAGTTAATGATAAAAAACTTTTCTTCACCCAAGTGGGTCTCTCTTTAATAACACTTTTAATCGTTATCTGCTTGGGCTGTCTTAGAATGTTGAGAGTTTACTTTCTATGAACCACCATATGTTATAGATGTCACCCAACCTTGTTGGCAAAATTTTCAACTGGGGTTAGGCCAAGCATCATAACCAGTACAGCCCACTTTAGTGGTTATGATGCCATCCTGGCCTGGTTCCCCAGTAATGGGCAAACTGTTTAGCAATGGTCTACTCTCTTACCTGGGTCAACGCTGGACTCCGATGCTCCCTGGTGATCTAGTGAATGCATCTGCATTCAGAGTTGCCGAAGCTGGAAGTCCCGGGGGTCAGCAATCATTGTCTGAGAGAGTCAGCTGACCGCTCTCAGCCATTGACTGTCATTCTGTGCAAAGAAAGTTGGATGGGATGAATGATGAAGCCACTATGACAGCGCCAGAGGTGGAGTTAAACCTCCAGTAGCAGAAGGTTAATCTCTGTATCAGCAGCATTTCATAGTGAATTGCTGCACGTACAAACTCCAGGAGTAACCCTTTAAGATTTCAGGCAAACCCGCAAGCATCTTTAAAGTACAATAGGAAAAAAAAATGAAGTGGAACTACGAGACCACAATTACATTTATTAATCACTTGTAGAGACTCTGAACATATTACATTAAATAAATAAATAATATTATTGCATCTTCCAGTTTCCCCCCCCTTAAGAAAGGATGAAAAATATCTGACACAAGGTGGATACATTTGTTGAACTGAGATTCCCTGAATTTCCGGGTAGCTATAGTTTTGTATTCGTTACTGATTGGTTCCTAACACACAGCCTAAGTAAAGGCATTGTGTCGAAAACTCTTGGCAAGGGACAAGTAGACTATTAGAGACTTTTACCTTGACCTACGAATGAACACGATCATCTTAATGGTTGTTCGGAAAATACAGTTATCTCCACTAGAGAATGCCTGTCAATTAATCCTAGATCCAGCAACCCAATTTATACAGTTGGATCAGGTAACATATTATAGTACAAGTGACTGTCTTGGTGGCCTGTAACAATGTAA